TTGAAATCGAATGGATACTTTCCGACCAGTGAGCTTTTACTTTTGGGAGACAATTGTGGACCACCTGTACATGCTCTCGGGGAACTATCATTTGGGGGAGATGTTTTCAATGATATACCGAGTGGCCCAAAAAACGTTCCAAACTTTACACGCCTGCAGACGGTGCACCGTTTGAGTTATCGACAGGAAATTTATCAGGCTTTTACATGCAATGTTTGTAGGTATTTTAACAAAAATTTCAGTTAAATTAGTTGTAATCCACGAGAGTAAAGATTTTTCTTCCGTGCGATGTCAAAAGAGTGACTGCACAAACGTACGCGCCCGAATTCAATAAAAGAACTGCTTGATGTGTTCTCCTTGGATCGCTGGCCGAAGCAGCACCCCAGCAAACGCACTGACGCACTTACTCATTCAACAAATTGTACGGAAAGAGCTCTCGCTCATTTCCAGGGCAAGGAATTTCATTAAAATTTTCCTAGATCCACCTACCTATATTGGGCATGGGGCACTGAAAATTTCAAGACGGCGTTCTATTAACGGCGTTCTCATAACGGCGTGTTATTATGGTGTTCCGGCTGCAACCGCACGAAGTTCGGAACTTTTTGGGGGGTGCCACCAGGTAAATTTGCTTTAGTCAAACGGAGAGACAGGGAAGGCTGAAACTTGGGAAGCATGTGCCTACTCAGCTACTGAGTTCAGGAAAAATATTAATTGTCGGATGCATGCCCTGGGGATGAATATGGGTGGGGGGGTGGCGTTTTCAAATCATTTTTTTTTCCGTCCAACTGAATGGGACTGAAATAGAAAACTAAGACTTCCCGCACCAATAACTGAGTTTAAAAATAAATTCAGTTTAGTGGTACATACCCTTAGGGCACAACTTTTGGCTGTGTGGGCTTTTCAAAAAGGAATGTTTCCACCACCAAGAAGAGCCATTGGACAAAGCTGAAATTCGGTTGGCATGTAGTTCTCTGAGTATTGATTTCAGTAAAAATGTTTCATTTTTAGGACCAATGTAAGAATCCCATAAGAATCATATGGGATTTTCATTTTTCAAAAATCTTAGAATTCTATGTAGCTTCTTTTCGCATCAGGTTAAATCATCGCATTGTATATTTCACACATGAATTATATCAGCTGAGCAGTAAACACTAACAGAATGCCAAAAGATGATGAATAGGTTTTGGTAGTGTCTATTACCTTTCTTCTAATTCCCGCAGCAGAATTGGATCTCCTTGCATTCCTCTCTGAGTGCTTATACATCAACGAAATTTGGCATGCACCTTTCTCTTTCCTCTTTCAACAAAAAATTGCTCCAGCAAGTTTGAAGTTCCATCTCCTCAGGGCTGGGGAGAACATTGAAACTCGCATTTTCATGGTACCAATTTCAATATTTTCTTTTCTCCCCCCCTTGGTAAACATTCACGGGGAGTTTTTGTTGGAAAGAGACCAACCAAACGAAGTTTGTAGGTGACATAAAGGGTCCTTTTTTGCCTGCAGTTCATCATTGTGCCATATGAAAAAGGAAATTAGCTGTCGTTCCTTTCGGCTCAGCGTGATGGCTCCAGTCCCATCCCTCAGTGTTGCCAGATTTCGTGCCAGACTAATGTTAGATTCATGACTTCTTCGGACTTGGTATCGGGGTCTGGATTTTTTTGTATGATACAATTTTGGCCGAGTTTATGAGAAGAACTGAGATGGAAACGGTGGTTTTGCAATGGCTGATCGATTTGGTGGGATGTTGAGATATCCTAATCGGACGTCCCTAAATTTACACATGGCGCCCTGCTTGTATTTAATGCTTACTGGAGGCATTCTCTCCCTTGTACTTGTCGAGATGGAGGAACTCCAGATCGGCCTAACGCGCCTCGTCGGCAATGAAATAGTTGATTAAACTTGTAACAGATCTCTGATTGGTTTAACGTTTCATGTCTTCTCTTAAAAGAGCCACGACGGACTGAATTGGCCTATGACTGGTCTAACGTTACATGTTCTTGACTATCTCCAAAATCCGGAATTGATACATTTAGGCCTAATTGGCGCCGTAACTCGAGGTTTTGAGTTTCAATTGTACAAAAAAGGTAGGAGGAAAGCCGAGGACAGTCCGCCGGTTACGCCTAGGTCTAAGGTTTTGGAATTCCATACAGACGGGGGTGAGGGAAGGTGAGGTTTAGGTTGAGGTGGAGGTTGAGTTTGAAGAGAGACCCTTTGAAAAACGGTGCTCACATTACTTCATGCAATTATGTTTGCCTCAGCTGTCGATGATGAAGTCTGATCCCTTTGGTGTCTGTCAGTAGGTTGTAAATTATTACGTAATTTCACTCGGAGGATTTTGAAGAGCGTTTTTCATATATCGGCATCCGCATTTTCTAACAATTTGAGACATTCAGCGAATTTGCCATTAATGTATTTCATTCATATTTTGCAGCACAACTTGCTTGGATGTTAGAAGGGAAAATGACGTAAGATGCAACCAAGATACGTTACAAATGCGCTTAAGTAACACGACGTTGCAAACCCCACAACTTAGGAATTTTCTTACAACGTTTTCAAAACAGCAACATTAAAATTTTGTGATACATACTGCAACATCTCCTTCTCCGTTCTGCATACTTTTTATGATGAGAAACATTTTGTGGATAGAAAGACCAGAAACGAGGAAAATTTTCCATTATTGCAGTCCACCCATGTGCTTTTTCCTCAAAAGAATTGGAAACATCAAAATGTATTCATTTCTTTTGATGCAGCATTAAGTAAATATGAAGAAATTATAGATCATGAAAGGCAAGCTATGCATACTTATGGAGTCACCCATATATCCTTTTCGGGAGGACCATGCAACTCTAACAACCAAAGAAATGAAGCTGAAACCGTTTACTTACTGAAATATTTCTTCAGTGAACAGATTTCTGTGGTGCATGTCTTCTATGAAACCATGTCAGTTGAAAAAACTACGGAGAATCAGTTATACCCGGTAAGTTGAGAAATTCATTAAGTTCTCTTCAGTTTCACTTTGAAAATGCCACTGGAAATGAAGACCCTCCCCTTCTTCCATAGTGGTCGAACTTCGTCGGAACGTTCGGAGGCTTGCTAGGTCTCTACACTGGGATGTCTTTCATCTCGGTTCTGGAAATGCTGGAGTGGATCGTGGACATGATCTTGTACGGTTGGAGGAAGCCACGTCATGGTACGATGGGCCCGAAACAACGAGTCATCCTCGTTTGTGAGTTGATGCGCATTTTACGAAAGAGAAGCCAAGTTTCAAAAGTCGTAACAATCCCAGGAACTCCAAACTTTCTTTTCTTCCGATCGACCTGGCAGGGAGAGACGTGGATCTCGGAGAAGAGATGAGAGAGAAGTTAAACCGGAAAGGAAATGCCTCATTGGGAGATCCGACAATTCATAATTGACCACCCTTTGAGGAAACCCAGAGAGCTTAATTGGAATAGTTCTTTGATCGTTTCTGATGGATTGGCATATTTTTGCAGGGGAACGTTATCTGTAATCCTCGCGCTTGCATGAAGTGTCTTTCTTTTCTTTCCCATCCGGTTAAACATTAGTCCCGTTCTTTAGTCACGGGGGTTCTCTTTCCGTTCTATACGATATGCGACTAACAGTAAATGATAACCATTGCTTAGAAAATAAATAAAACCAGTAATTGTATATATCCCAGGCATTTACTTTTCCGTGCATGACATTATGTGTTTTTAGCCATTTCTTCTTTTTTTAATAATGCCCGATTACTTGTCGTAACCTCTCAATTCATGGATGTGAATTTACGTCATTCAAAAAGGGGATAGTTCCGTGAAAGAAACTGTATTTTACCTTCACCAAGAACAGTTATTTGCTTGTTCCTGGCTCATTTGCACAGCTAGCAGTGCATTATTTTAATTTCATTCGATTTTATGCAACAAATGATTAGGAAGCAATATTGAAGGTTTCTGCTTTGTCTATCCTTACGGAATCCTATAATATCTTTGGAAAAAAATCGAATCGGATTCTCCTAAGGTTCCCTTTAGAATCTCATAGGAATCCTATGGGATCATGTAAGATCTTAGATTCCTTTAAAAACCCTTGACGATTTTCATGTTACACAAATTTCATTTTTCTGGGAAGATAAATCTAATATATATAGACTATTATGACTGACAGACTAACTGACTGACGCTAATTCTAACCATATTCTAGAAACGTTAGAAATCTGAAATTTGGTGCACATGTACCTTTTGGGATGCAGAGTTCAGAAAAAAGCCGACTTTGGAGGAACATGCCCTGGGGGTACAACTTTTGGGGGAAAAGTTTTCCATATTTTGTGACAGATGAGGATGACATTAAGAAAGATAAGGATTGGTGGTGTAGTCAAAGCATCTCTGCCTGGCAATCAGAAGGTCCGGGTTCAATTCCCAGCCATACCTGGGTTTTCCTTTTGCTTTTGTTGCCTTCCATGTCCCGTTACTCATTCCCCCACCATAACATTACTTTTGCTTGAGTAAAACGGGGGGAGATAGAAAGCTGAAACTTGGCATTGACGTGCCTACCGAGAGGATGAGTTCAGAAAATAGTAAACATTTTATATCCATGCCCTGGGGGCATATTTTTGTGAGCCGACGTTTTCAATTATTTTTCTTGTCCTGGCGTATTGAGCTTGTGTGGAAAGATGAAACTTGGTACATAATTACATATTGAGATACAGCTGCAAAAAAATTTCAGACTTAAATGCCCTGGGGGCACGAATTTCAAAAGGAGATCTTTTCAACTAATTTCTTTGTCATCAGTTAAACTAATGAACATGGAAAGCTGAAACTTTGCATAAATGTGTCTACTGAGACAAGGAATTAAATAAAAAAATATTATGTCTCGATACATCCCCTGGGTGGAATTTTTTCGAGGGGCAATGTTTAGAAAAAAAATTGTTGTGGCATATTGTCCAGAAATGGAAAAATGAAACTTGGCACACGGAAAGTGACATGATATTACTGAGCTGGGGGAGTATTCAGCTTTCATGGGGCATCCCCTCCGGCCATAGCTTTTGGGTGGGTTGGCTTTTCCAAGTATGTTTCTTCACCTGCGAAAAGGGCAAATCTAATATATATAGACGATCGTGACTGACTGACGATAATTCTAACCATGTTCCAGAAATGTTAGAAATCTGAAACTTGGTGCACTTGTACCTTTTGGGGTGCAGAGTACAGAAAAACTCCAAATTTGGAGGTACATGCCCTCTGGGTACATATTTTGGGGGGAGAAGCTTTTTTTAAAATATATATCGTGATGGATAAGGGTGTCATCGAAAGAATCTATTGTATTTCACCGTTTCGGTGGTGTAGTGGTAGCACATCGGACCTTTAATCTTGAGGTCTGGGTTCAATTCCTAACCATTCCATGCCTTTTTTCATTTCTCTTGCCTTCCATGTCCCACTGCTTCAATAAAACGGAGAGACATGGACGTTCCTACTGACGCGATGTGTTCAGGAGAAATGCAAAATTTTACATCCATGCCCTCGGGGCATATCTTTTGGGGCCGACGTTTTCGAGTATTATTTTGTCCTGGTGTATGAGCTAGTGTGGAAAGATGAAACTTGGTGCATAATTACCTACCGGGATGCTGTGTGCGGAAAAATTCAGACTTTGGAATGAAATTGCCTGGGGCGTGAATTTCAAATGATGTTTTCCCATAATTTTTTTGCATTAGATAAACCGATAGACATGGAAAGCTGGAACTTTGCATGAATGTGACTACCAAGATATGGAGTTAAAGAAAAATGTTAAGTCTTGATTGGTTCTTGGTTCTGTACCATGATCCTCTGTCTAAAAGGGAATCGATGGAGTGGCGACATCCTGGATCACCACGGCCATAAAAAGCAAAGGTGACACAATCCCAAAAAGAGATTATGGCCACCATTTTCTGGGATTGCCAGGGAATTCTACTAGTTGACTTCAAAGAGAGAAACACTACGGTCACTGTCGAATATTATGCATCATTAATTTATAAATTGAAGAATGCCATCAAAGAAAAACGCCGAGGAAGGCTCTTACGAGGAGTGAGGTTATTGCACGACAATTAGCCAGTGCACACTTCTGTTGCTGCAAAGGCTGCTATTCAGCACTGTGGTTTCGAAGAACTAAATCACCCACCCTACAGCCCCGACCTAGCCCCTGGCGACTATTTTTTATTTTCAAAATTGAAGTCTGATTTGCGTGGGAAAAAAATTGCCAGTGATGAAGAAGTGATCTCTGCAGTCTTGAACCATTTTGAGGACAAAAACTCAGAATATTTTTTTAGTGGAATAGAAAAATTAATTCATCGTTCTAAAAAATGTATTGAAATAAAGGGAGATTATATTGAAAAATAAAAATGGTTGTTTAATTTTATCACATCTTTTTTATCCTTGGGCCGGAAACTTTTGGACCTTACTACGTATATACAGACGGACGTGACTGTGTCACTGACCGACTGTCGTTAATTCTAGCCAAGTTCTACAGAATTTAGAAATATGAAACTTGGTATTAAAAAAAGGTGCAAAGGGACGGTGAATTCGGAAAAATTCACAATTAGTAGGTACATCCCATAGGCGAACAAAATTACCTAATTCAATTAAGGTACTAAGGGAACATAAAAATCGACCCCCCTGGATCAAAATTCTGCTCTATAATTGTTGTAAGGGACCTCAAGAAACGGCCTTGGAGCCGATTGCTGGCTCTCTCAGGTCACCCCCGGGGCCATGATCTGTGGTCAATGGTCAAAATTTGCATGCTTCTCGTTGAAAATCTCCATCTCCCCAACCCTCGGTCGCAGAAACGTGAAATTTGCACCATTCTCCTCGAGACATACAGCGCTATATGGAAAAA